ATATATATATATATATATATATATATATATATATATATATATATATATATATATATATATATATATATATATATATATATATATATATATATATATATATATATATATATATATATATATATATATACATATATATATTAACTGTGAATTTTTTACTTTTTTTATTTTTTTATACTTTTTCAAATATTTACTATGTGCCGTTTAATACAGCAAGTACATTTTCACAGGATTTCCTATAATATTTTTTTTTCTTTTGGCAGAAGTCTATTCTATTATTTTGGCTGTAATAAAAGCAGTTTACTTTTTTTTTTTAACTTTTTTAACTATTGCCTCCTTTAAGATTTTTTTTTCCCAATGATTGCATAATTGCATAATTACCCTAACTTGCCTATTAATTAATCTAAGCCCCTGCCTAAATTTAAGTGCCTTAAATTGCACTTTTAGCAAAATACTATTATCTTACTGTAAAATATTATATACCTTCATAATGGCAAAGAGAAAAGAAATTAGTTACTAATAATTTAGTCAGACCTTCGGTTTAGTCTCTATTTCAGAGGTTGCCACAATAAGTTATTAAATAATTATTAAAAATATGTTTCAAAATGTGTACAAATCTTCTCTTAGTTCATCATTGAAGTGACAAACTACAAGCCTTACATGTTTATAGCAGTTTTTAATCTTCTAAATGTGAAGTCCCTTCACATTTAGAAGATAAATGTGTTTTGTCCCTGTTTAGAGCACTCTAGCTTATAGCTATCTTAAAATTGAACAATACTGATACTAACAAATAAAAAACTTTCAATTTCATTCAAATAAAAGCCTTTAAAGTAATACTAAACAAAAGTGAGTAATGTCAATGAAAAAAAAAAGTGACCGACTATATAACCCTCCTGTTTGCTGGAGCAGATTGAGGAGTGAAAGCTCACCCAGATCAATGGAGAAATCCGGCTCTGTGTTTGTGTCCTGCTGAGGAAGAGGCTGATGGAGGAAGACGGAGCTGAACGCTGAGCTTGCGGATGGCGGTGGACTGTCCAGGCATTCAGACGGGCTGTCATCGCTGATGCCGCTGTCACATGGAGAGCACGGCTTCGACATGTCCAACAGTGAGTCCAGAAAATCATCCATAACACCTTCATGACATGCAATCTGCAGAAACACAAACACACACATGCTCAAATCAGAAACATGCAAACACAACCATGAACAAACTGCAGATGCTCACGTATATGCAATTTTTCAATTCTGAGTATGCCTCACACAGGTGAGTGGGCTTGACAAACCACCTGTAGGAAACATCCTGCCAAACGAGATATGTATAAATCAGGAGCTAAGTGTGAACTCTAGAAACAGATCCAGTGTGACAGTAAAAATGTTTCTGATGTTAAACAAATTTCATTTTATTAATTTAATTTGAATAAATTTTATCAAACAATGCTGGAAAAGTATCCTTTAAAATAGGAAGCAGCAAAACTGAGGTTAATATTCATTAATAATTTCAAGAAATGTTACTTCAGCATCATATTAGAATGATTTCTAAATGAAGATTGAACATAAATTGCACACATTTTTGCAGGTTCCCTTTACTTTGCATCTAGAAGTTATTATGTTCATTCATTCATTTTCCTTCGGCTTAATCTTTAATTTATCAGAGGTCACCACAGTGGAATGAACCGCCAACTATTCCAGCATATGTTTTATGCAGCGGATGCCCTTCCAGCTGCAACCCAGTACTGGGAAACACCAATACACACTTATTCTCACACACACTCATACACTACGGCCAATTTAGTTCATCCAATTCACCTATAGCGCATGTGTTTGGACTGTTGGGGAAAGCGCTGCACCCGGAGGAAACCCAGGCCAACATGGGGAGAACATCACACAGAAATACCAACGAACACCGGGATTTGAACCAGCGACATCTTACTGTGAGGCAACCAACCCGGGCTCATTGTGGAAACGTAGTCCCGCGGATGTTTCTGGAGACCGCGGAATACGTCCCGGCGGGTACGTACGGCTGCAGTTTTTGTTTTTGTGAATCCGCGAGAGGCCGCTGTTGTGCGCTTTTTCGCGTCTCAGACGCCTCTCGCGTGAACCCGCCAGAGGCCGCTGTCCTACTGACCGGATGATTGACTGCGCGACTGGCCAATCGGCTGACCCGCCCTCCTCCTTCCCTGAACCCAACCAATTTTACTGATCGACCCGCCTGCCCGCTCGCTTCCCTAAACCCGAGCAACAGTTTACAAAAAGCCGTCCAAAAAAATAAAAGCCCTGATTTTTTTTTTTCTACCGCGTTTTCGGGGACCTGCCGGGACGTATTCCGCTGTCTCCAAAAACGTCCGCGGGACTACTTTTTCAGAATGAGCTTGGGTTGGAGGCAACAGTGCTAACCACTGAGCCACAGTGCCACCATGTTATTATATATTGTATTATATACTTGTACATGCATTTTTAGTTCATTAGACACATATACACTTGTTCAACTATCTTTATGGGGACTTCCCATAGACATAATAATTTTTTACTGTATATTTTATCCACATAAACCCAAGCCTCACAGGAAACCATCTGTGTTTATACACTTTCAAAATGCTTCATTCTGTGTGACTTATAAGTTGTTTTCTTCATAGGACCACACAATGTCAAAAATTACTGATATTGGTGTACTTTTGGGGACATTTGGTTCTCACAGAGTAAGGAATACAAAGTACACACACAAAACAGTACCATGTAAGACACACAAACACACACACACACACACAAACTTGACAGACAAATCTGGGTCAGGCACGTCGTTCGCTCTGGCTGTGTTTACAGGAAAACTTTCAGAAGGCCTCATTAATTAACAATGTTTAACCAAAAATAAGATGCTCACAGTTGGACGGCTGTTTCATGATTTACCAGATAAACTGAGGTCAGAAATATCAAACGGGTTTCACTCACGCTTTGATCTGCCATTGACCATGCAGGACTGCCATGTTTTGCATCTCTGGCTGTATCAGGGACTCTATGAGGCTCCAGCAGCAGCTCCAGGAGTTCAGGCCCGGGAAAACACTGAGATTGGAGGAAAAACAAATGAAGACATGAGGTGATTTCACATATTAAACCCTGTTGGGGATGTTTTCATTTACTCTGGGGTGATTTTAAGTATTAATTTGGCCACAACGTTTTCTGTGTTTTAGCAAGTGGAATGATTATTGGTGGCAAATCTTATTTTGACACGTATTTTGGGAAAATGCTTTGACAAAGAACTCAACAAAACACTCTGGGCAAATTGACTACCCTTTCGTTATGTTGGGGACTGTTTTTGCCCCATTGACTTCCATTATAATGACTTTCCTAGATTACAAAGCCATCTATAGTTGAAGTCAGAACTATTAGCCCCCCTTTGTCACAAGCTCAGTCCCAGTTATTCCCCTCACTGGCCGGCAGAGGTCTCTCTCACCGGACTTCTAAACACTACATCCCCCAGAAGCCCCGTATCTGTCACTGATTGTGCTGCACCTGACTTTGATCACACACACCCATAAAAGCAGCATCCACGCTCACTTCTTTGCGAAGTCTTGTTTGCCCAGTCAACATTACCGAGCGTTTATCCTTGTATCCTGATTGTTTGCCTGTTAATCGACCCGGACTGTTATTGATCTTGATTTCCTTGCTGCCTGCCCCGACCCTCTGCATTTCTATCCGTGTATCATTTAAGCTGCCAGCCCTGATCTATGCCTGTCTCTACGACCAACGAGTTTATGCTGCCTGCCTTTCGACTATATATATGCCTGATTTTCATGTGAGTGTCTCCAACACCATTTGGCTTGTGTTTCTGACTCTGAGTTCAATAAACATACTGCAGATGGATCCCTCTGTGTTAGCTTCCTCGTTACACCCTTTTACATGTTTTCATTTTTTAAATATTTCCCAAATGATGTTTTACAGCAAGGAAATTTTCACAATCATATTTTTTTCTTCTGGAGAAAGTCTTACTTGTTTTATTTGGGCTAGAATAAAAGCAGTTGTATTGTTTTAACCCATCTTAAGGTCAAAATTATTAGCCCCTTTTGTCACCGACTCTGTCCCAGTCACTCCCCTCGCTGGCCAGCAGAGGCCGCCATCTCCGGGCTTCTAGCATTACATCATCCACTTACGCTGATTGTGCACACACCTGTCCTGAATCTTGCTAACGACCCACGTACCCTTTTTAAGCCGCACACAAACACTCAGTCAGTGCGAAGTCTTGTTTAGCCCCGGCCAGCATTTCTGAGCGTTATTCCCTGCCTGATTCCTCGTGCATTACTCCAGCCTGTTTCTGACTCTGCTTCGCCTTCTGCCTGCCCACTACCCACGCCTGATACACGGACTCTGATATTCGCTGCCTGCCCACGACCCACGCCTGATACACGGACTCTGATACTCGCTGCCTGCCCACGACCCACGCCTGATACACAGTCTCTGATACTCGCTGCCTGCCCACGACCCACGCCTGATACACGGACTCTGATACTTGCAGCCTGCCCTCGACCAATGCCTGGTAAACCCCTCTGTTTCTGTTCACCGCCAGTCTTGATACTTCACAGACTATTGTTGATGTGTTTGCACTTTAGTGCATATTGTGTGTTTGAGTGAAAGCTTGACTAATAAATACTGCATAATGGATCCCTCCGTGTCAGTCTCCTCGTTACACCTTTAAGCTACAGTATATTGTCTTTAGTTAGTCTACAGAACAAACCATCGTTATACAATAACTTGCCTAATTATTCTAACCTGCCTACTTACCCTTGTAACAGTTAAATGTTACTATTATTATTTTCTGATTTATTTATTTTTTTGCATTGTGTATTGTTTGGCATATTAAAATCAGTATGTTAATATGTAATACTGCATCCGACCTCGCTAGGCGCAAGGTTGATTTGCACCCCTATAAAGAGCCACTTACCATAGAGTAAGAATGCGTGTTTGTTAGAGTGTACACCACATGTATCCCTTTCGCTTCCAGCCTTCACAGTAAGTCCAATGTTTGAGAACTGTTGCAGTTAACTCTCAATTAAAGGACTGTTTGTATTTTGCTATCCTTATGCATCTGTTGGCTTGCTGTTTTGGAGTTTAAGCAAAACTAAGCTTATCCAACTTTTTGAGGAGCAACATCCTCCCACTCAACAGAATGCAACATGACTCTTTCCTATATGCATCGATGGTCGCTTTCCTAGCAAGTGTTTAGACCATGTAAAGAAATTGCATCGCTCTCAAGTGCTCGTAAGGGTAGGTGATCACTGACTTCATTCAGAAAGACTATTTAGATTCTGACTATGGAATGCCTTGATTTTTTTTTTTTTTGTGTTTTTTTTTTTGTGATTGATATCTTTTTTGTTTGATGCTAAAACTATCCATATGTGGGTAAATTTAAAAAAAAGTTTACGCTTGCTATAATTTTTTTCAAGAGTGTTTATTCAGTCAGCCAAATAGCCTGTTCAATTCACCTCAGAGTAATACCAATTCAAAGTGATGAGGTGTTGCAATCTTTGGCCAATCACATACTCTCATATTAGCCTAGTAAAGCCTTTAAATGTCACTTTAAGCTGTGTAGAAGTGTCTTGAAAAATATCTTTTCAAATATTACTTACTGTCATCATGGCAAAGATAAAATAAATCAGTTATTAGAGATGAATTATTAAAACTATTATGTTTAGAAATGTGTTGAAAAAACCTTCTCTCCGTTAAACAGAAATTGAGGGAAAAAATAAACAGGGGGGCTGATAATTCAGGGGGGCTAATATTTCTGACCTCAACTGTATATAACCATGCATTCTTGAATGTTTTTGGTTTTTCCTGTTAGGAAGAGGCCAAATGTGTCATTTTTACTGTTGATCATCAACTTCTATATAGAGTTTTGTGTGTGTGTGTGTGTGTGTCTTAGTATGTGTGTGTAAGAGAGAAAGAGACCTTTGCACACTTATCTTGATCGGTCTGAGAAAATCAAAATAAGCAGCTCAGCTCTCAGAACAGTAAACATAATGTGTATTTATGCACGCACACTATAATCTGCTGTTTTACTCCACAGAACTCCTTATAAAAGCCACACACTTTTTTGCACAGTCCTCTATATAGGTTTAATGCTGCCAACTGTAACGCCGGGGAGTGACACCAACAACAGAAGGTAGGATCCAATATGCAGGTTTATTCTTTGTCAGGCAAGCAATGGTCAAAACAGGTATGAACAGGTATGTGCGGGCAAATCCAGAGTCGTAATCGAGGAACAGGCAAAAGGTCGAAAGGCTGGCGGCTAAACAGGATAACTAGGATACAAAGCTAGGTTCAGACACGGAGAAACAAGACAGGGAGAAACGCGTTGAAATGTCACTAAACAGTAAACAAGACTCGGCAAAGTGAATGAGTGTGTGTGCTGCTAAAATACTGTGTGAAATATCAGTCTGTGACGAGGTTCAGCTGGTGATGTAATCAGGATAGATGAATGACCAGGCGTGCGTGTTTGGAAGAAGTGCATGTATGAAAATGTAGTCCTGGGGAATGCGGAAGTGAAGTTAAAGTATAGTGGAAACCAGCGATCTCCAGAGAATGATCGCTGGTTCTCGTAACACCAACGGATGATCAACAATAAAAATGACACATTTTACTTCTTCCCAACAGGGAAAACCACCAACAGACCTATTGCAAATCCAAGGAAATGATAACATGAATGAATGAAACATTAGAAGTAAACCTCAAACATCATCTTAAAATCACCCTGACACATTGATTACCAAACCTCGTTATTTTACATTTTTAATAGATTGTGTAGATCATTCTGGAAATAAACATCTCCATCTTTGCACATTAAGCAGGGTTCAACGCTAAGGATTTTTTTTTACGGGTCCGATCGGGCCATTGGTTGAGATTTTTGCTTGCCCTGCCAAAATTTTCACTGGCCCCACCAAAAAAAAAACTAAAAGGTTAATAGCTATTTCTTAGCCACACATTTTAAATAATGGCAAAATTATGCCTGTGAATCAAGAATTTAAACATTTTAAATATGTTAATAAATGTATAATGAACAAAATTCAAGATTTTATGCAAATAAATAGCGGTATGAAAAATGTGCTGGTATTTTAATGCAATTCTAAATCATTTTTATAAAAATGGCTTGCCAAACTGACAACTGTTTTTTTTTTTTGTTTTTGTTTTTTGGTTTTTTTCAGTTTCTTAATTTTGTTCCCATGTAATTGTCTGCTTCTAAGACTTTAGAAACAGACGTTTTCTTTTAGCCTCATTGTTTAATTTTGCCGCCATGTTGCCATCTGTACTGGTTGTTACCAGGTTACAAAAAAAAAAAAAAACGTGCTCAACATTACTGGCCGATAGGGGCCAGTAACAATCCTTTCTACTGTCCCGAGTGTCTTTCACGCTGGCCCCGGGCCACCGGGCAGTCCTTATTGTTGAGCCCTGTTAAGTCAAAACACTTAATGGGCTGTAGTTTACCGATCTAGGCGCAGAGTCTAAAGAAGGAAATCCTACGAGGAATCCTCTTCTGCTGCGGTGAAATACGGTCTGCGCCACGTAAATCTCTAATTCCCTTTATAAGTCAGTTGCGTCGTGCCATAGCGCATTTGCTACTTACATTGGGGGCTATGTAAGTGGAAAAGCTGAATGCTTCACTAGCGAGAAAACAGTTAATCAGAGCATCTGCAGCGCGAGGATAAAGAACGAGTCTCCTCCATTCGGCCTCTTTACTTTCTCTTTACTCTTTACTTACTTCTTTACCTTGGTAGATAAGGAAATGTTGGAAACTCACTCCACAGAAGACATCCATTAGCCAACATATTTAATTCAGTTTGTTAAGCGCAGAGTTTGTTTCAAAACTATTTCTAAATTCAGTTCTAATTTCCAGCAAACGAATAAATAAACAATAATAACAAAGTGTGGGCAAAAAACTAAACACACGACCTGTTCTTATGCCTCATATGGTGATGCAGACGTCTCTAAAACCCAAAAGGTGGACAAATCTAAACTTGTTTTTATTCAAACATATATAAATATGCGTATAATAAATAATACTGATAATTATAAAAACATTATACAAATGCAAACTGTCATGAATATACTAAAGAAACCCCCACCTATTGAAGAATGCATGGAGTGGTTTTTGAATTGCTTTTAATTTTGGTTTTATTTAAAAAAAAAAAAAAAAAAAAAAAAAAAAAACGTTAAATGAGAATTGGAAATTTTTTAACTTAAAAAAAAAAGATATCATTATATGTTTTATTTAGAGTATTTTTTTAAAAAATAAATTGGCCTCACACTTCATATTTTCAGATATGTCATAGTATATGTATTTAGTCCGGTACTTTTACCATAAACCGACACATCAACCATTTGGTAGAGGCTGATATTTTAGAAATCATGGGATGCATTGAGTGTGTTAAATAATTAAGGGTTAAGAAATGCAATCCAAACATTTTTTTTTCTTGTTGGGGTAGTCAAGGGGTTAAACAATGTGTAAGGTTTGGACGTGCATAGGCGCATAAGTAACGCACTCTGCGCCGGACTTTAGAGCAGCTTTTAGTTTGTCAATGGCGTGGTCTATACCAGTTCTTCTAAATAGCAACGCACTAAAAATGCCCCTTAACACACCTAATTTTCAGACTAGCACATCCATGAGTCCACAAAGTGGTGCAAATGGATTTGCTATTTAAACAACGTGGCACAAAACGTGAAAATTACGGTTGGGCTGGTCTAAAAATAGCAACAAATCACGCCAAATACATCTAGCCCCTGATTACTCCGAGTGTATGGTAAGGCCCATCCCCTCCTTTCAATCAGTGTCATTTATTCATTCATTCATTTTACTTCGGCCTATTCTCTTTATTCATTAGTGGTCGCCACAGCGGAATGTACTGTCAACTTATCCAGCAGAAAACATCCATACACACTCATACACTATGGCCAATGTAGTTTCTTCAATTCACCTAAAGCGCATGTGTTTGGACTGTGGAGGAAACCGAAGCACCCAGGAAACCCACGCCAGCATGGAAAGAACATGCAAACTCCACATGAAAATGCCAACTGGCCCAGCTGGGGCTTGAACTAGCGACCCTCTTGCTGTGAGGCTTTCAAGAAACTACTAAAAACTCAACTATTTAGTCTCCACTTCACTTCCTAATCTGCAATTGCCTCTCTGAATATCACACTAACTGTACCCAAAAAAAAATAAAAATACTAATACTACTAATACTTCCCTTCTTAGACTTTACAGACCTGAAACTTGCCTATAGCACTTATTCATTGTTGCTCTTAGTTGTGTAAATTGCGTCTGCTAAATATGTAAATGTAAAATGTGAGGCGACAGTGCTAATCACTGAGCTAGCATGTCGCCGTTTTTAATCAGTGTTATTATAGAAATGCTTTAATTTAAGAAATCTAGCTCTCTGTCGAGAAACTCCAGAGCATGTCAGATTACTGGGTTCTGGCTACTTTCTTTGGTCTTAAAAGCGTCTAGAACCTGGTGTAACCCGATGGTGACCACTCAGATATTCATCATTATTTCCGCATGTGAGTCCTTAATGGAAAACTTCCTTCCTCTCTTTGTAAAAAAAAAAAACTGAAGCAGGAACCTGCTCACACTGTTAAAGTTTAACCAGGTTCATTGCGCTTCCATTAAGTATTAACATGACAGTCTGCGATGTTATTGTTAGTAATGTAACACAGAGAACAGCCATACTCAAAACATATGACATTTCCCAGCAGAAACATCTCTCTACGGGCCTGTTCACAGCGTACAGCAACAGGAGAGCATCATGCGTGTCAGGATGTGATGACACAATGAATGATAAATCCGTGTGATGGTGCGTAATGAGCACGAAAAACAAGTGACCCAGATACACTATTTGAGCTTTGCTTCTGACACGTGTTGAAGATGAGTGATGTAGACTCGTAGCTTCACCCTCAGCTCTGCTCACTTTAAAGGACAGTCAGGAACACAAATGAAAAAGAATACGGCGCTCTGAAGAGCCTCTTGATCTGGAGTTAAGATTCTCTCCCTGCCAGAGAAAGTCAACTCGACCCCGGAGCAGACGCTCTACAGAGAAACCAGAGTGGATATTTATAGCGCTGAGCAAACACACACATATGCACAAGGTCAAAATTGACTGCTATTGCTATTCTACATTTAGGGATGTAAGGTAAAGTCACCTAAGTTTGATACACATTTCTGAAAAGCAGGTTTTGTTGTTTTTTCCTTATTTGAAAGAAACTTGGGAAAAAGTACTGAGGAATGTATTATTTTTATTAGGGGCCAACCACTGATGGCGTGTAGTCTGATGGTACCTGTTGTATAGAGGAATTACCAAGCTACGTCACACATGACGTCACACGGGTTCCTGGTTGCAAAAAGAGACCAGTTGCAATAGCAAACATGTCAGGTTGTGCAGTAGGATGCCAAATTCGAATGTGCTATGAGGCGCTGTGTAGGATGTAAATCAAACTTCGCTTATCAACACATAAAACACGTGACGTGCATATACACCTATACTATTGAATGTTTAAAAATAGGTATGGAATTTGTGCATATACATATAAACGTACATATAAACATAAAAATACACACGCATGTACATATAAACTCGATCCTTGTATATAATCGATCCTCGCATAAACACCCTCATTATACACATAAACTCGCTGCATGCTGGCATGTTGCATTCGTGCAAACGTACAAAATAAAATTCACAAACATAGTTATCAGGAATCAGGTTATTGTGAAGCTGATGAAAAAGAAAGAATGTGCTTTATAGACATATTAAATCTGTTAAATAATGAAACTGCTTTATATAAAAATAATATAAAATATTGGTCGATATAAATAGACTATATAAAATATATAAAAAACGTTTTATGTTAAACCTTTTAATTTAATTATGTAATTATACACAAATAGAAATGGTCAGATAGAACCCTCAGCTTATTTATATATTTATAAAGCTGAGTCTGACAGTTTTATTTGTTGCCCTTCCATTAAGTAATAATATGACAGTCTGCGATGTTATTGTTAGTAATGTAACACAGAGAACAGCCATACTCAAAACATATGACATTTCCCAGCAGAAACATCTCTCTACGGGCCTGTTCACAGCGTACAGCAACAGGAGAGCATCATGGGTGTCAGGATATGATGACACAATGAATGATAAAACCTTTTAATTTAATTATGTAATTATACACAAATAGAAATAGACAAATACCATCAGCTTATATATATATATATATATATATATATATATATATATATATATATATATATATATATATATATATATATATATATATATATGTATATATATATATATATATATATATATATATATATATATATA